CATTATCAATCTTACATCTTTTGGTACTCACACTATGAACATGTGGAGCATTACGCTCGAGGTTCATTAAGAATAAACCATTCACCATCGGAGCATGACCATAAAACATATCTCTCATATAAATAGAATAACCATTATTCTCGGATTTAAATGAGTAGCCATCTCGAATTAAACGAGATCCTGACACAATGTTCATGATCAAAGCTGGCACTAAATAACAATTATTAAGGTTTAAAACTAATCCCGAAGGTAAATGTAGAGGTAGCGTGCCGACGGCGATCACATTGACCTTGGAACCATTCCCGACGCGCATCGTCACCTCGTCCTTCGCCAGTCTCCGCTTATTCCGCAGCTCCTGCTTTGAGTTACAAATGTGAGCAACTGCACAGGTATCAAATACCCAGGAGCTACTACGAGTACTGGTAAGGTACACATCAATTACATGTATATCACATATACCTTTTGTTTTGCCGTCCTTCTTGTCCGCTAAGTATTTGGGGCAGTTCCGCTTCCAGTGACCACTTTCCTTGCAATAAAAGCACTCAGTCTCGGGCTTGGGTCCATTCTTTGGCTTTTTCCCGGCAGCTTGCTTGCCGGGCACGGCAACTCCCTTGCCGTCTTTCTTGAAGGTTTTCTTACCCTTGCCTTTCTTGAACTTAGTGGTTTTATTCACCATCAACACTTGATGTTCCTTTTTGACTTCTACCTCCGCTGATTTCAGCATTGCAAATACTTCAGGAATGGTCTTTTCCATCCCCTGCATATTGAAGTTCATCACGAAGCTCTTGTAGCTCGGTGGAAGCGACTGAAGGATTCTGTCAATGACCGCGTCATCCGGGAGATTAACTCCCAGCTGAGTCAAGCGGTTATGCAACCCAGACATAGTGAGTATGTGCTCACTGACAGAAATGTTTTCCTCCATCTTACAGCTGAAGAACTTGTCGGAGACTTGATATCTCTCGACCCGGGCATGAGCTTGGAAAACCATTTTCAGCTCTTCGAACATCTCATATGCTCCGTGTCTCTCAAAACGCTTTTGGAGCCCCGGCTCTAAGCTGTAAAGCATGCCGCACTGAATGAGGGAGTAGTCATCGGTACATGCCTGCCAAGCGTTCATAACGTCTTGTTCTGCAGGGAGAACAGGTGCGTCACCCAGCGGTGCTTGTAGGACATAATCTTTCTTGGCAGCTATGAGGATGATCCTGAGGTTCCGGGCCCAGTCCGTGTAGTTGCTGCCATCGTCTTTCAGCTTGGTTTTCTCTAGGAACGCGTTGAAGTTGAGGACTACGTTGGTCATTTGATCTACAAGACATATTGTAAATATTTTAGACTAAGTTCATGATAATTAAGTTCATCTAATCAAATTATTCAATGAACTCCCACTTAGATAGACATCCCTCCTGTAATCTAAGTATAACATGATCCGAGTTAACTAGGTCGTGTCCGATCATCACGTGAGACGGACTAGTCAACATCGGTGAACATCTTCATGTTGATCGTATCTTATATACGACTCATGCTCGACCTTTCGGTCTTCTGTGTTCCGAGGCCATGTCTGTACATGTTAGGCTCGTCAAGTCAACCTAAGTGTTTGCATGTGTAAATCTGTCTTACACCCGTTGTACATGAACGTTGGAATCTAACACCCGATCATCACGTGGTGCTTCAAAACAACGAACTGTCGCAACGGTGCACAGTTAGGGGGAACACTTTCTTGAAATTATTATGAGGGATCATCTTATTTACCACCGTCGTTCTAAGTAAACAAGATGCAAAAACATGATAAACATCACATGCAATCAAATAATAATAGTGACATGATATGGCCAATATCACATAGCTCCTTTGATCTCCATCTTGGGGCTCCATGATCATCTTGTCACCGGCATGACACCATGATCTCCATCATCATGATCTCCATCATCATGTCTCCATGAAGTTGCTCGCCAACTATTACTTCTACTACTACGGCTAACGCGTTTAGCAATAAAGTAAAGTAATTTACATGGCGTTTCTCAATGACACGCAGGTCATACAAAAAATAAAGACAACTCCTATGGCTCCTGTCGGTTGTCATACTTCATCGACATGCAAGTCGTGATTCCTATTAAATAGCATGAACATCTCATACATCACATATATATCATTCATCATTCATCACAACTTTGGCCATATCACATCACAGAACACTTGCTGCAAAAACAAGTTAGACGTCCTCTAATTGTTGTTGCAAGTTTTACGTGGCTGAAATAGGGTTCTAGCAAGAATGTTTTCTTACCTACGTGAAAGCCACAACGTGATTTGTCAACTTCTATTTACCCTTCATAAGGACCCTTTTCATCGAATCCGCTCCAACTAAAGTGGGAGAGACAGACACCCGCCAGCCACCTTATGCAACTTGTGCATGTTTGTCGGTGGAACTGGTCTCACGTAAGCGTACGTGTAAGGTTGGTCCGGGCCGCTTCATCCCACAATACCGTTGAAGCAAGATAAGAATAGTAGCGGCAAGAAAGTTGACAACATCAACGCCCACAACAAATTTGTGTTCTACTCGTGCAAGAGAACTACGCATAGACCTAGCTCATGATGCCACTGTTGGGGAATGTTGCAGAAAACAAAAAATTTCCTACGGTTTCACCAAGATCCATCTAGGAGTTCATCTAGCAACGAGTGATTGGATTGCATCTACATACCTTTGTAGATCACACGCGGAAGCGTTCAAAGAACGGGGATGAGGAAGGCGTACTCGACGTGATCCAAATCACCGGAGATCCTAGCGCCGAACGGACGGCACCTCCGTGTTCAACACACGTACGGTCAGCGTAACGTCTCCTTCTTCTTGATCCAGCAAGGGGGGAAGGAGAGGTTGAGGAAGATGACTCCAGCAGCAGCACGACGGCGTGGTGGTGATGGAGCTGCAGTACTCCAGCAGGGCTTCGCCAAGCTCTATGGAGGAGGAGGATGTGTTGGAGAGGGAGAGGGAGGCACCAAAGGCGTGTTATGAGAGGCCCTCCTTTCCCCACTATATATAGGGAGTCCAAGGGGGGGCGCCGGCCCTAGGAGATCCAATCTCCTAGGGGGGTGCATCCAAGGGAGGAATCCCTCCTCCCCAAGGCACCTAGGAGGTGCCTTCCCCCTTTGGGACTCTTCCCTTCCTTGAACCCTAGGCGCATGGGCCTCTTGGGGCTGGTGCCCTTGGGCCATATAGGCCAAGGCGCACCCCCTACAGCCCATGTGGCCCCCCCGGGGCAGGTGACCCCACCCGGTGGACCCCCGGGACCCTTCCGGTGGTCCCGGTACAATACCGGTGACCCCGAAACTTGTCCCGATGCCCGAAATAGCACTTACTATATATAATTCTTTACCTCCGGACCATTCCGGAACTCCTCGTGACGTTCGGGATCTCATCCGGGACTCCGAACAACATTCGGATTACTGCATATACATATCCCTACAACCCTAGCGTCACCGAACCTTAAGTGTGTAGACCTTACGGGTTCGGGAGACATGTAGACATGACCGAGACGACTCTCCGGCCAATAACCAACAGTGGGATCTGGATACCCATGTTGGCTCCCACATGCTCCTCGATGATCTCATCGGATGAACCACGATGTCGAGGATTCAAGCAACCCCGCATACAATTCCCTTCGTCAATCGGTATGTTACTTGCCCGAGATCCGATCGTCGGTATCCCAATACCTCGTTCAATCTCGTTACCGGCAAGTCACTTTACTCGTACCGTAATGCATGATCCCGTGACCATACACTTGGTCACTTTGAGCTCATTATGATGATGCATTACCGAGTGGGCCCAGTGATACCTCTCCGTCATACGGAGTGACAAATCCCAGTCTTGATCCGTGTCAACCCAACAGACACTTTCGGAGATACCCGTAGTATACATTTATAGTCACCCAGTTACGTTGTGACGTTTGGTACACCCAAAGCACTCCTACGGTATCCGGGAGTTACACGATCTCATGGTCTAAGGAAAAGATACTTGACATTGAAAAACTCTAGCAAACGAACTATATGATCTTGTGCTATGTTTAGGATTGGGTCTTGTCCATCACATCATTCTCCTAATGATGTGATCTCGTTATCAATGACATCCAATGTCCATAGTCAGGAAACCATGACTATCTGTTGATCAACGAGCTAGTCAACTAGAGGCTTACTAGGGACATGTTGGTGTCTATTATTCACACATGTATTACGATTTCCGGATAACACAATTATAGCATGAATAAAGACAATTATCATGAACAAGGAAATATAATAATAATCCTTTTATTATTGCCTCTAGGGCATATTTCCAATAAAAATTGCATGGCGCCATGGAGACAGGCGTTATTTTTATCATTTCTTTGTGCGTGCAATCGTACTGCCATCATGCCCTTATTAGTTCTCATTAGTGGTATCAAATTCATTCTGAAATGCCAATTTTATACATGCACATACACTTACTTCTTATGAAGGCGCGCACATATTGTTTATCCCTACGAGTATCCCACATATTTTAAGACTGACGAAGTGATCATAAATACATCATTGTGGATAAACACATTATACCATTGAAAAAATAGCGCCAGAAAACTTGAAATAAATTCAGGAAATGGAATGCCAAAACAAGCCGTGCCTCTTTTGAGTTTGTCCCTGCAGCTGTCAGGGTTCGGTGGATTCGGTAAAATCACTTCTCATCATAGGTGTGTATAGGATTACCAAACTGTCTGTAAGACTGTAATAACTGACTGACCACTGCAGTGAAATCCCCCTCCTTCCGAGGGGGGAAAATAACCCACCGTCCCTCCCTGGAAACAAACCCGAATCAGCACGGGACGGCCAGAGAGGCAGGAACGCCCTCGTTTTCTTTTCCCCCTTTTCCTCCGTCCATCGCCTCTGCTCCCCCACTCCCCCCGTCCCGTCCACCCACCCCGCGGGCCCGAAAACCCTAGCCAGCCGCCGGCGGCGAAGCGGGCGCACCGGCGGCGGCGACGATGAGCGGCGGAGGCCCGCCCAGGAAGCGCAACTTCAAGATCGAGATGTTCAAGCACCGGGTGGAGCTCGACCCCAAGTACGCGGAGCGGACATGGAAGGTCCTCGAGCACGCCATCCACGAGATCTACAACCACAACGCCAGCGGCCTCTCCTTCGAGGAGCTCTACAGGTCGGCCCCCAACCCCCCTTGCCCGCCCTAAGCTAGCCTGATTGATCTTGCCGGCGCTCGCTCTCGCTCCCGCTTGGTTAGATGATGTGCATCCGTCTCTGCCCGCGTGAATTCCGAGGAAATGCGGTTCCAGGGCAGATCGTGTGTGCAATTCGAACTGGCGCGTGATAGTATCGTGTGAAGAAAAAGGCTGGATGTTCGTATCCTGTGCAGTATACTCAGGAAGCGATCTATCAGAGAGGATTTCGTTCCAGTGTTTGTTGTCCTACCAATGTTACGGGAATAATTAGCTTCTTTTGTGGCCGAAGACCTCAGTTAACTGTTGATGCTATGCTCCACTAGGTGAGCAGTCAAGTAACAAAGCTCTTCTTAACTAGGAATTTCAAGGCAAATTTACTCTCCACCGTTTCGGCTATGGGCGTTCCATTTAAAACATGGTTTTCTAGTCTTCCATTTTTTGTTCTTCCCCGGAACATAAAATAGGGCAGACATGTTTCTGTCTGTATCAGTCTTTGCTGTCTCTGATGGATCAGCAAGCCGCAAGGCAGATTGGATCAGCATATTGTTAGCAGTTGATAGATATTTGTATGCAGATATTCATATGATTGATAATTGCTTGTCATATAAACGTTGAGTCATAGTGCTTGTTGAACTCTCATGTCGCCGAATTTGGATAGTTGGTAGTAAATTACTATTCTGCAAGAGCACAGGGTGCAGGGGGGGGGGGTGGATCTAGTATAAAACCTACTAAGGGCTATTGTGTTGTCGCCTTACTCTAATTTGTGAATTCATTTTCCATGTGCAGGAGTGCTTACAACATGGTGCTTCACAAGTATGGCGAGAAGCTCTATAATGGCCTTGAGAGCACTATGACATGGCGATTGAAGGAAATATCAAAATCAATAGAGGCTGCACAGGGTGGTTTGTTTTTGGAAGAGCTGAATGCGAAGTGGATGGATCACAACAAGGCATTGCAGATGATCCGGGATATTCTAATGTACATGGATCGGACTTATGTCCCAACATCCCATAGGACACCTGTTCATGAGCTTGGTCTGAATTTGTGGAGGGATCATATAATTCACTACCCAATGATCCATGGTCGGCTGCTTGACACCCTTCTAGATCTTATTCACAGAGAAAGAATGGGTGAAGTGATCAATAGAGGCCTGATGAGGAGCATTACAAAGATGTTAATGGATCTTGGTCCTGCTGTGTACCAAGATGATTTTGAGAAACCATTTTTGGAAGTTTCCGCTAGCTTCTACAGTGGGGAATCTCAAGAGTTCATCGAGTGTTGTGATTGTGGTAACTACCTTAAGAAGGCTGAGAGGCGGCTCAATGAGGAAATGGAGCGTGTCTCACACTACTTGGATGCTGGCAGTGAGGCAAAGATAACTAGCGTGGTGGAGAAAGAGATGATAGCCAATCACATGCATAGATTGGTCCACATGGAAAACTCTGGCCTTGTTAACATGCTTATAGATGACAAATATGAAGATTTGGGTAGGATGTACGCCTTATTCCGAAGGGTTCCTGATGGTCTATCAACAATCAGAGATATGATGACTTCATACCTGAGGGAAACAGGGAAGCACTTGGTGACAGATCCGGAGAGATTGAAAGACCCAGTGGAATTTGTTCAGTGCTTGTTAAATGAGAAGGATAAGCATGATAAGATCATCAATGTTGCTTTTGGCAATGATAAAACCTTCCAAAATGCTCTGAATTCATCCTTTGAGTTCTTCATCAACTTAAACAACAGGTCACCTGAATTCATATCACTGTATGTTGATGACAAACTCCGGAAAGGACTGAAAGGGGCAACAGAAGAGGATGTGGAGGGTATACTGGACAAAGTCATGATGCTGTTTCGGTACCTTCAGGAGAAGGATGTGTTTGAGAAGTACTATAAGCAGCATTTGGCAAAAAGGCTTCTGTCTGGCAAAACTGTTTCTGATGATGCTGAGAGGAGTATGATAGTCAAACTCAAGACGGAATGTGGGTACCAGTTCACCTCCAAATTAGAGGGCATGTTCACTGACATGAAGACATCTCAGGACACCATGCAGGATTTCTATGCCAAGAAATCCGAAGAACTTGGTGATGGCCCTACACTTGATGTCCACATCCTCACAACTGGCTCTTGGCCAACACAACCCAGCCCTCCCTGCAGCCTTCCACCTGAAATCCTTGCAGTATGTGAGAAATTCCGTGGATATTATCTTGGAACTCACAGTGGGCGGAGGTTAACATGGCAAACAAATATGGGAACAGCTGATATAAAGGCCACGTTTGGGAAAAGCCAGAAGCATGAGCTGAATGTATCCACTTACCAGATGTGTGTTCTGATGTTGTTTAACACCTCTGATGGACTTAGCTACAAAGACATCGAGCAAGCTACTGAGATACCTTCCACAGACCTAAAGAGATGTCTCCAGTCTCTTGCTTGTGTCAAGGGGAAGAATGTTCTCCGTAAAGAGCCCATGAGCAAGGACATATCAGAGGATGACACATTCTACTTCAATGACAAGTTCACAAGCAAGCTTGTTAAGGTGAAGATCGGGACCGTGGTGGCAGCAAAGGAATCTGAGCCAGAGAAGCAGGAGACCCGCCAGCGAGTTGAGGAGGACAGGAAACCTCAGATTGAGGCTGCCATCGTCAGGATCATGAAATCTAGGAGGGTCTTGGATCATAACAGTATTGTATCTGAGGTTACCAAGCAATTGCAAGCACGGTTCTTGCCGAACCCTGTTATCATAAAGAAACGCATAGAATCTCTGATCGAGCGCGAATTCTTAGAGAGGGACAAAGCAGATAGAAAATTATACCGCTATCTTGCATAAAAAGCCAGCATGTGAATGTTAAGAGATATTTCATGAGCAGGTGGCTTCCTTGTATTCCTGTAAACATTTCCCCTTGTGCTTGAGTTCAGTTTTATTTGTTGGGCACTGTCCACTGAAATCATAGCAGTTGTTGAATTTGGTTATCAACGGATTGAAATGGAGACTTTACCCAATCACTGCAACAGGTCTACTAGCCAAGCATTTATGTTATGCACACTTGTTCATTCAGAATTTCCTTCTCTTCTCTTTTCTTGGATATTGGATGTTGCATTCTCCTTCTCTTCTCTTGGATGCCGTGTTTCCTATAAAAAATCATTTGAATCAAGGAGGCCCTATTCTTTGTTCCACCAGCCATTTCACCTAGAAGATCTGCTAGTTTCTTAAAGTATCTGCAATTCTGCATCTAGTATTTGTATTGTACATGTAACTTTGACGGACCTGAATGCAAATTGTGTATGCTCCTGCACGCTAAGATGCACACACATGAGTGTGTGCACGCTTCTGTTCTGCCTCTGTCAAGATTCATCCCCAGCTTAATGATGTGGAATCTTTTTGCCAAATTGTTGAAGATAAACAGTGTGTCTGGATTCTTCTCTAAACATTTCCCAGTTGTGTCGCGGTTAATGTTCTGAACCATAAAGAACTCCATCAGGCTGTGATTTTTCTTCCAAAACGAAATGAAAAAAAGGCCAAGTTCTGGATTCAGTTTCATATGCACAATGCCATCTACATTGAACTGGTACTGGAACGGGAAATGCAGGCTGAATCTGAAAGAGATTACATAAGCTATGTTGAATCTGGGTAGTAATCAGTTTCATATTACATAGGCTATGCATAATTGGTTCAGAAAATATTATTGCTCTCTGCTTCTTCTGGAATTCAGTTTCATATGCACAATGCCATGTACATCGTTTTTTGTACCCAATCCATGATGCATTTATGTTATTGATCGGCTGAAATGGGGATTTACCCCAATCCATGATGCATTTACGTTAGGTTCATTCCGAATTTCCTTTCTCTCTTCTTGGATATTGGATGTTGTGTTTTCTTTCTCTTTTTTTGGATGTTGTGTTTCCTTGTCGGTTCTGATGCATGTGAAGAACGCCAGACACTATCAACGTTTACATTCGCTGCTTGTTTCATTGCGCTAGCATTTTAACACTAAAATTGGTTACTGTTGCTTCCAAGTTTGTTTAGAATAACTGAATGTACTGCCCATCCGACTGATCTTTGGCAAAGATCGGCCGGGCCGCAAGTCGTCTGATGCCCGCCGTGTGATTGCCCCTCTCCTCTAGCCATCCCTCTCTCTTTTTATTTATTGGAATAAGGGATCGGGTTTGGCCATAGGAGTGGGTGTTGAACTGTTGACCCCACATTTCAATAGGAGTTATTTTTATTTATTAATTTTTTTCTGGGTATTCATTGAGTTGCCCATGACCAAAATTTCATACTCATGTCCTACACATATACAGTATTATTTTATGGGGTCCATTACCCATGAATACAAAATCTTGTCAAGTCTTACGCATGGGCAAAGCTGTCATCTTATGTGTGGATAAGGATATGCTAAGCGCGCGGGTGCTTTGAAAGAGCAGTGTGTGCGATTGATGCCCATCCAATGGCAGTGCGAGCACTTGATGTTTTTCGTGGATCAGCTGGCTGAGGAGAAACGTTTCCCACATCCAAATGCTACCTTTCGTGGAGCTGAGGCGCTTACATAAAATGGAAAACCAGTGCAATATTATACTTGTTAAAAGGTTTGCAATTGGCGCCTGATTTTTTCCTGTTGAATACGACCAACAATCACTGATCCAAAAATTAGAAAGTACTTCCTCCGTTTTAAAATGTAAGACGTTTTTAACACTAGCATAGTATCAAAAAAGGCGGGACGGAGAGACTACATACATTGATTAAAAAGAAGAAGATACAACTTCCGTCGTACTAAAAATAAGGAATCTCCAGGAATTATCTCTTCGTACACTGAAAATGATACCTGCTCTCCTACTCATACTCCCGTTCTTTGACTGAGCAATGACTATCAGAACATCAGTGAGTTGAAATTCACAACATTATCCTGCGGAAGTGAACGTTTCGCTCTCGGATGTAATTACACCCTTTTTTTTAAGAAAAATAATAATTTGTAAGAAAGTCAAAAAATCTGAAACATTTTGCAAATAAAGGAGATTTATTGTTGCCTTGTATAAAATCTTTCGTGAAGAAATGACTTTCATGTTGTTGTGGACGTAAAAAAAACAAATTTGTCGCTATATACGAGATACTGTTCATGCTATATGTCCTGGGCAATTTGTCATTTTTGTCAGAGAATATTTCATTACAGAATATTTTGGTACGACAGAAACGACAGCTCAAATTTGTTGGGAAGAAGTTTTGGAACGTTTTGACTTTTTCTGAATTTTTTAAAAATAAAATCATTTATCAGGTGTAATTACCACCATGTTCCAAAGGGTATTTTCCCCGATATGTATCTCTTCCACCAACGACTTTGCGAGTAAAAGCCTGCATGGTTGGAACCTGAAACTGCCCGTTTCCTGCTCCTCTGATCGCAGCAGAATACAGTGCTGCTCTGTAAGATTTCTCCCGCGTCTGGAAACTGTGGAAACCAGGAGGCAGCAGCGAAAAAGAATTCCATGTAGGGGTGCAGGCGGCGGCCCGCTTCCTGTCTGCTAGCATCGAGATCTTCCATTAAAGGAGTTTAGCTTCTAGTTCGTCAATGGCAGTCTTAGCTTGGCATCGATGAATGATTTTTATCCGTACGAAGGTTTGTTGGGGGTGGATCTGTAGATCCATTAGTTCGGTGATGGAACAGTTTAGCTACTGCTCTTCTTTCACAGTCCTGTTTTAACAATAAGATGAAAAGAACCATATTAAGATTCTATGTACCCTGTGTAGGAATGAACTACCATTGACAGTAATTATTATCAAGTACGTATTAACTAAGATAAAATACAGCATATCAGGACATTTATTACCTTAAACATATTTAGTTGAAAATATCTTCCAGCGTTCATTCTCCTGAGCTTCAAGTAAGTGTATGTAAAACTCAATTGATCACGTGAAGTGAAACGGTTGACCTCATTGAACCAAAGGCATGAAAATAAATTAGACATTGGTGTATGGGCACGCACGATGAAAGATCCTTCGGGCACATCTGCAAAATTGTTATACACTCGATCAACTCATTTACTCATAGGAGAATTTATCAAACATAAGTAAATGCTACTTACAACTTGGTAGAACAGGATCGTGGCCAGAGGCATTAAACTTCACAAGGCCGTCAGACTGATAAAAGTAAAATTGCTCATCGATAGCAGTGTGATTGTACTTGTTTAAGCGCTTGTTCTGAAGCACCTCCTCCCAGACACAGGTGCGATCATAGTGCACTGAAATGGCGTACTCTGCTTTCTTTCTCCATAAGAAATACTCAATGATAAGCATTGGATCAGCATGAAGACGCAATTTGCTATCCAACCAGATGGAGTACCTAACAGGTAAAATGTGTTATGTTAGCCATGGAGAAGAAAATGCATGTAGTGGTAATATGTATAGGAAAATACATATATGTGCCAGTTAAAAGAAAGCTAATAAAAACTAAGATCCTAAACTACATTAGTAGTTGATGAGATGACATACATCAGCAATCAACCAGCTAATAAGTAGTAACGAACTAACTCCGCGTGCTTTAGAATTTATATAATTTTATTCTGCAAGGAGTATAGAGTACTATACAGAATCTCCATGCAACTAGATATTATGGACAAATACATCAGCAAAAAACTTACAAGGCAGATGGGAAGAGTCGGTGAGCCAGAAGTTTTGGCACCTTTCCTGCTCTCCGCATATCTTTGTAGGGTAAATTCTTAACTACAACAATTCTCCAAAGACCAATGGATCCATTTTCATCAGGGACGTGTCCTTCAGAGGAAAGGGTTGTCAACGTTAGCTCATCCAGGAACATGATGAAGCACACATTCTTCTTAGAGTATGAGCCAATCTGTGAGATTTTTAAACTGGTAAATGATAATGTTTCTGAAACAGTGTAATAAAGAGAGAAAAGCATGCAATCACCATGAGATTGAAAAAACACAAAGAGATTGCCTAGGAGGAAATGATGGTGACTTGCCATTTTGCATCTGAAAAACATGGTACTTGTTAAGAATGCATGCACAAAAAAGGAACAAGAACATTACTCTGCTTTTAGTTGGTCTCCTTAAGTAATCAGAGCCTCCAAAAATGCATGATGACACCACCACACGGCAGGTAGCCATATAAGCCCTGTCATGTTCATCCAAATCAAATCCACTACTGGGGTAACCCTCTGGACCATCTACAAAACCACAGTGAAGACTTTGGTTTTTTGCATAATATGTTTCCTCTCTTTCCCGAAGACTCTGGTGCCCAGCAAACAATGGTTCAAAAAATCCATTACCAATCAAATGTCCCTCATTCAAGATATACTTCAACAAGAACTGTGTAAAATTGCTGTAGTCAGCAGGCTCCACAAGATTGTCAACCGACGGCAAAAACTCAATTTCACAGGGCCCATCTGCAATATTACATTATGTATGTAAGTTGACAACAAAAGTAACTAATATAGAACCGAGAAACATGCAAAAATTAATATCATTTACATGGTTCCATTTAGCAAATAAATAGGTTAGGAAATGCCTAGTGTCAGGCTTTGTGTCAAGTTTGAGCTATGAACAGCATTAATCAAGGTAGAAAATATGAGAGTAGATATTTTGAATGTAGAACCATGAGATCTTATCAACATGTTTGTTCCAACTGAGTACATCCAAGATAAAAATTGGATAACAGATTTATCTTACAAAGGTTTAAAATGACAATGTTGTAGGAACTCAACGTTTAGAGAGTAGAGTCCAGAGTATCTCTTACAATGCTTTTTCTTTCTTCCTTTGATGAAGGGTTCTGACTTGTCTATAGTCCTGACATAAAGGCAAATCTGATGATACCCGAAGGTATGCGCATATACACAAGTACATATTGACATATGGAAAATGGTAAATGTGCACTTACATAGAGATATTTTCCTTGACAGTGGTATTGCGTTTGTCTCTCTTATCCATTCCCTTTCCAACATTCTCCCTGTTGGCCGGACCTTGGTGTATCGCTGCATAGCAGAACATTGTCGATTTGTGAGAAGTTTGGAAATATTGTTAACCAAAAATGCCTGTGTCACTCTAACAAGTATCTGAGTTACACGAAGATTCTAGATAGCGGGGTTCAGCAGTAAAATTCCTCATTACACAATTTTGTTTTTCTTAACTGAATTACTCAATTTTGCCGCACTTAAATCACATGATGACAATGGATAATTTCATAACCTGGTAAGTGACAACACAAAGAGGTGGAGCCAGTTGCAATTTATTTCGTACAATTAAGTACACCATGTAGCACTGAATTTCACCACACTTCTACTGACTTGACCGCAACCTTAAGAGCTAGACATGATACAAATATTTAGTACTCCCTCCGGCCCATAATATAAGATCGTTTTGCAAGCTAAAACAGCTCGTACATCTACGCCTTGACGAATCCGAGTGTATATCCAAAACTCTGATGCTGCCCATGCCATCAGATTGTCTAATTGCTTCCCTGCAATGGCAAATTATAGAGAACAATGATCCCGTGAATTATCAATCGCGGTCTGTTCGCCTACATTGCAGCAAACCGCACTTGTGCAGGGTGGCGGGAGGAGAGCTTACTGTGGAAGGGGAGGCTGGCGTGGGAGGAGAAGGAGAGGTAGGCGAGGGAGAGGAGCGCCAGGGCGAAGGTCGGGGGGAGGAGCAGGCGGCAACGGCGCCGCGGCCGTCGGGAATGGCGGCGGGGCCCGGCCGCGGGGGGCGGGCCGGTTGTCGGCAGGCGGTGCTCCGCCATATGCCCCAGCGCGGCGCTCGCTCCGGTGGGTCGCGAGCGGCGGCGAAATCCCCTCCCTGCGCGTTTCTCTTGCGGCTGTTCCCGTGTCTTCCGCCCTGTTTCTCCCTATTTTGGGGGGCGCGACAGCGCGCCCGATTTCTCGTCAACAGATATTTTCGGATACAATAATGTGCATGTAATTACTTCCTCCGTCACAGTTTAGAGTTTAGAAGGCGCGTTTAGAAATTCTCTGAAACCTAGGTGGTTATCTATTGGTTGTGAGATGGGCTAAAAAATAGCATTCACACTACGCATGCATATAGAAATAGTATATCGGAGTACTAATTAACTATTAGAAATAAATGCAATGCGCCCTAAATCTTGTCTATTGTGAAAACGCACATAAATTTAACTGTGCCTTCTAAACTGTGACGGAGGAAGTACTTGCTCTGATTTTCCTTTTGGGAAAAGTTGTATGCTCTCGTATGATTTGGCCTGATGTTTTTCTTTTCCGATCTCACGGTGGTTACAATACGTGACAATTTATTTATTTTCGAAAAGGAGGCAAAAGATTTGCCTCATTTATATATTGAATAAGAAGAAGAAGAGTTTGTTATAACACACACCTATGTTACGACATGACAATTATTCTTGCAATAATAAAAGACCCTAATTTCTTTGCCCTCGCTTTGATCCAAAGGTTTGCGTCGTCGACAATGATGTTGAGCAAAATTTGCGGAGGTGCGCTCTTTTGCCTAAACACTCTTGCGTTCCACTCATTCCAAATGACCCACGACGCCAGCATGATAATCGATGCCTTCGCTTTTCGGTCGGCGATGCCCACAACCAGGGCCGGCTCTAGGATTCCAGAGGCCCTAGGGCAAACTACCAGTGGGCCCCACAGTGAAAAAAGTTGACTGAATACATGAGTGCATAAAATAATTGTAAAGCCATAAACACTGATAAACTTTAATTAGCATCAAATATTTGATAGGTATTCTTGTCTCTTTTCTAAAGACTATTTGAATTGGAGACAAAGCCTTCATTTCTGTACTTCTCAAAACATCTACTGCGAGTGTGCGGCAGTGCATCAGTGCGTACTTGCAATTTTTTTCAGGTTCCGTGCGTATTTGCTACAGACTTGAACCTTGCCGTGCGTGTATAATTGATAGATGGGCCTTCTTTTCTCTACTTACGTAGCAGATATGGGCCCCTAGTTTGTCTGCCCCCAGGCCGTCGCCCCTCTTGCCCTGGGCCAGAGCCGGCCCTACCCACAACGCTCGTGCTCGCCCACCACGCATGAACAGAGTCGAAGAAGTGCCATGCAGACGTGTCCATGTCATAGATGCGACATTTTTCTGAATAACCATACTCCAAAGCCTGAGAGTGAAGCGGCATCCAAACCATTTGGTCCATGGAGGAGAGGACCAAGCCCAAAAACTGCGTCCTGTAAGCAAAGGCCGCAGAGTAGTGGCCAGATTCTATGTGCTTCCATATGATCTCATCCTCAACAAGCTCATCAAGGGGCACCTCATGAAGTAGCATCCAAAAGGTTGAAGAATTGTGTGACATGCTCGATGGAAAATGATGCGGTTAGTCTAATTTTGAGGATCCACGCGTTTTCGTCTGATTTTGAGGATCCACGTGTTTTCCTTGAGGGCCCCCGTATCTTCCAGTGCTTCCGGGACGAAGCCTCGTAAATGAGCGGAGCAATGTCTTTGAGCTTGTGTCCAAGAAGCCAAGAGGAGCCCCAAAAAGGAGTTATCGTACCATTCCCGATCGTGATGGTGGTACATGCATAGAAAAAGTTGAGGTCTTCCTCATCACACGGGTTCCTCTCCCGACCCACAACTTTATGGGCTCCTTCCACTCTTACCAAGGCCATCGCAAACGCAAGGCCCGCGTGAACTTGTTGGTGTTGAGGGCACCAAGTCCATCATAGGCAAGCGGTCGACTCACAATGTCCCAATTGACCTTGCATTTTTGCCCCGATTGTCTTATCCGACCCTGACCATAGGAAGGCCCACTCAAGCTTGTCGATGTTTTGCAGGATGGTGGGTTGTATGACAAGCAGCGCGATGAAGTAGACCACTTGGGAAGCGAGAACCGACTTGACAAGTGTTGCACGCCCAATGATAGTGATGTTTTGACCCTCATATGTTGTCAATCTGCTTGCCACCTTATCCACAAGAAATTGCAGGTCAGCGAGCTTCAGTTTCCACACACAGAGCGGAGTCCCCAATAATAAAGCAGAAAGGAAGCCCTAATAGCTGGTAGCCCTTGCATGATGCGGCCCAAGTCGAGATTGCTGCACTGAATGGAAACCATCGAGCTCTTATGGAAGTTAGTGCACAGGCCGGTGACTTCACCAAAACCTCTCAGAATGGCCGCGAGGTTGTCCATATCTCTTTTGATCGGCACTACAAACACAGCTGTCGTCCGCATAGAGAGAGGTTCGCACCATGACTCCTCTCCCTCGAATCTTGAGCAGTAGGCCCTTCCTTCACTAGTAGAAAAAATGGAGCTTTAAAACCGGTTCGTAAGGGCCTTTAGTGTCGGTTCTGTAACCGGCACTAAAGTGTGGGCGCTAAAGGCCCCCCCCCATTAATACCGGTTCGACGCGAACCGTCACTAAAGGCCCACCACGTGGCGTGAGCTCGCGTCGTGGCATGGGGGACCTTTAGTACCGGTTGGTGTTACCAACCGGTACTAAAGGTTTTTTAAAAAAAAATTGAAAATTTTGGAACTTTTTCGATTTTTTTTTCGATTTTCAATTTTCTGAATTGAATTATTTGATGATTTAGTGTCTAATCACCCCTCTTAACTGCTCAAGTGTGGATCACTCATTCCAAATCGTCTAACTTTCCGGTCGGTCACCCATCCTCTCACTCCCCCAGCCTGAGCACGCTTAACTTCGGAGTTCTATTCCCCCTACTTTCCAAGTCTGCACTTGTTGTTTTCCTGACAAATGTAAGCTGTCAATCCTATTAACCCTCAGCAGTTTAGCTTGAGCATTAGGTCACTCGTTTCACCATTTGAGTTTGAAACTATTATTCTAAAAAACAGTAATTATTTAGTAACACTAATATTTCTTGAATAAGTTTGACCAGATTTGACCAAAATTCAGAAAATTGAAATAATTATTTAGTAACACTAATATTCTTGAATAATTATGTAGTAACATTAATACTTTTTGAATAAGTAGTTTGACCATAGTTTGACCAAAATTAAAAAAATTGAAATTTGAGCATATATTTTTTTCCTTTTGGAATTTGAGGATTCTAAAAAATTGCCAACAAGCCGTAGGCGGTCAAAATCGGATGCGGATTTTCGTGCTGAATTTTTTGATATATTATTTTTTTTCCGACATCGTATGCAAAAGTTATAGCCGTTTTACATTTTCCCTACACTTTTTGCAAAACATGTCCAAATTTAAGTTTTCAAATTTTCATAACTAGTAGGTGTAGTAATATAACTACCTCTCGAAAGATTTTATTTTCTGAAGTTCTTATCATTTTCTTTTGATTTTTTC